GACTGTACACGAAGTCATACTCTTCAAGTTTAAAGAAAAGAGGGGGGAAATTGACTCTGTTATGAAAGCAAGAGAGTTTCTGCAGCAGGGGTCGTTTCGTAGAAAAAGAGCTAGGGGAACTCATTAGCATAACTCATTAGCATATGCCACACCCCCTGACATCACTGGAAGTGTGTCATGAGGCCACACCCCCTGACATCACCGGAAGTGTGTCATAAGGCCACACACCCCGCCCCCAACGGTCCTGACTGCTGCTACCGGCCTTGCAGCTCCACTGCCGAGCCCCATGAGGGGCCCGGCGGTGGACCTGCAAGGCCGGCGGGAGTGCAAGGAAGCCCCGCAAAGGGCCTCCCTGGCCCCAGGCAGGCAGGGGTGGGGAGAGGCAGGGAGGAAGCAACTTACCCTCCCTCTTCTCCTGCCTCCTCCTGGCTGAATGAGGGCCGGAAGCGGGGCGGCCGGAAGCAGGGGGCGGGGCTTCGTCATGTGCCCCGCCCCCCGTACCTCACCCGGGGAACTGCGATCCCCCCCGAAATGACCTCTGTTCTGCAGCAACATCGGGATCCAACAGGAGAAGAGGACGAGAAGAGCAACAAGGGGAGTGATGAAGAAGCACTTACTGGAGAAGATTTGGAACGTGGGGCGGCCACCCCCAAGCAAGGGTATCGAAGTTTGACTTTTGACTTTTAATATTTAACCGTTCTTGTGTATGGTTCTTTACTAAGTCTGAATACCTGGACTTGAATTATCAAAGCGAATTTAATGATCACGCCCAATGTAACAAATTACTCTTTTATTATTCAAAGCTATTTTATTGTAAGCATGATATGACCACCACCTCTTGGATTTTTAGTGGTTTATCTTTACTTTCTCCCGTAGTTTATATTTCCCTCTTCCCTATTTTCTTGTAGTTTTTAGAAAATAAGAAATAAAGAAATGAGGTAGGTGGTCATAAAGAACGGGTTCTCTACCAACTGCCCTTCGTCCTTTGGAATGCCCTACCATTCTTCTCTGCACCTCACACCTTTATTGAGCTTCATTGGTTTTTTAACTTTCAGCTGGGTTATCATCAATGTGACCAATGAGTGTTTCCCTGTTGTTGTTGGTGGTGGTTTTTTGGGGTGGGTGAGTGGGGTTAGGTCCCTGTCTCTTCTTTCAAAAGTGCTACTATTTTTTTAGTTGATGCCTAACACTTTTTTTTAGAGTTTCTTGGTCTTAAGTGATTTTATACTGGAGTGTTGTGGGATTGCTTTCTTGTGGTTTTGTTGTTTATCACACTATATACTGCCTTTTTCACACTGCTGTGGAGAGGAAGTATACATGTAATACAAACATTATAGTCTACCTGACCCCTCCTGCTTTTCTATATTCCAAATTATCTGTCCACCCCAAATCCTCATTTCCTGTACTTTGCCATTTATCTCCATCTCTCCATCCCAGTCAAAAAGGATGTATTCTTCTGGTGTTTCAGGCCTTGATATTTAGGCCATTTGCAAGCATCCCTGCATAGAGCAGCAAGCAGGTCTGCAGAGATAAAATGATGGTGAGTGGAGTCAGTGTTGGATTGCACTGCTGTGGCCTTCGGGGGGGGGGAGCAAAAAATTGAATCATACAACTGAAAATCTAAAAGCTGGTAATTGATCAAATGAACACATTGTCAGACCATCCTGACAATGTGTTCAGAAAAACTTGAAAGCTTGCAAAATGTTTTCTGTTATTGGAGTTGGTACTGCAGGACTTTTGTTTTTGGATTTTGCTTTAGACTAATGTGGCTAACTTCAGCCTCTGGGTACTTTAGAAATATTTGAATTAACTGATAAAGACAGGGATTCTTCATCTGGAGGAAAAAGAACCTGGGATGGAATGGTGCTTATGTTGGCTTGGTGATATTACCCAATTTGGCTTTTATTGACTTTTTCTCAAGACATCAAGTAAAATTAATTTCCAGTCTTATGAATATCACAACTACCCTGTTTTTCCTCTATTTGCAGCCCTTTAACGGACCTCTGTGTTCTCTTTGGTGCTAGACATTTTATCAATTACTTATTGTGTGTGTGTGCGTGTGCCTGGAAGTCATGGTTGACTTCTGGTGACCCCTACTGGGGCTTGAATGTTTTAGAGAGGTGGCTTGTTATTGCCTGCCTCTGCATCCCAGCACTGGTATTCCTCGGAGGTCTCCCATCCAACTACATGCCACGGTTGGCCCCAATTCTCCCTCTAAGCTGTGGAGTCTTGTAAGCAAAAATTCTACTTTGTGAGCTCCTGGCATTAAAGTTGTGAGCAAGCCATTTGGCTACTGTATAAATTAGTTTGCTCTGGAGCCATCCTACCTGAGCTAAGACAAAAATGTGTGAGCTGGAAGCTAAAAAACTGTGAGCTAGCTCACACTAACTTAGCTTGGGGGAACACTGGTCAGCCCTGCTTAGCTTCCGAGATCTGACAAGATCGGCCTTGCCTGGGTTATCCAGGTCAGGGCTCATTTTTATTTTTTCACTTGGATGCTTCCAGTTTTGCTGCTTCTTCCAGAAGACCAAAAGTGTGCAACCTGACACTTCTTCCACCTAGCACTGTTATCTCTGCAACCATGCTTGCTGTTCTACACAGAGTGCTTACAAAAACCTTTAACATCCTGGCCGGAAACATCTTCCTTCCCTCGTTTCCCCCTCTTTTAGTTCTAAACATTCTTAAGTTTATATCTTAATAAAAGGTATTATGGCTTTTATTGTACCAGTTCAGGGATCTTATTTCTATAGGATTGTTCTTCATTGTTTCTAATACATCCCACTTAAAAAATTTGATTATGTGCTTTTGCATATGAAAGAATAACTGCGGAGAGAGAAAAAATGCATAAATTAGCGTGACGTGTAGGATTCAATCTCTGTTCTGCTGAACACTGCCAAGTCTGTATTCATCAGCATATTACAAGCAGGGGAGGCAAAATTGTCTAAGGTAACACCATATGTCGAGCCTTTATTGCACACACTTACCGTACTGTATTACTGCAGTTTTTGAAATAGCCATGTTAATGTTTATGTAGCTACTTCTCCAAAATTTAACACAAGTGGGATATCATCTTCAGCTAACTTCAGCCTCCAATTAAATTGATCACATGACCATATGAGACAGAAATGAATTAAAAAGCCATTACTTTTGCATAGCTGTCCATCTCTGTGACCTCATTTGAAAGGTTTTAAAATCTTTTTACATCATGTTCCATCTTTTTTCTTCTTCTATAGTACCAGTTTTCAGTATTGTCTTGTTTCTTCAGCCCTTCTCTCCACAACTGCTGATAGTGGAACATAGATTAGTACAGAGCTTTCTCAAGTTAGCATTTCTCTATAACTGAAACAACAAAAAGGTTGTCTGATGCCGATTCCGCACAATCTCCTGCCCCGGCATGGACACCCGAAAATATTTGGTTTTGTCATTCGTTTCCACACATGATTATGCGCGTTCACAAGTTGACCCAAATCCCGTGCACTCCCCCCCCCTGCATTTTCCATTTCTGTTTTTTTCAGGATCTTTTTTTTGCTTCGGTGCTGGAGTCAGGGTATTCCAATGAGGAACTCAGTCAGGATTCGCACTTGCCTAGTCTCGCCCCTTCCCACCCACATCCTGTTTTGTTTGGCTGCTCGCTTCCAAAACCATCCCCGTCCTCGCATGCTTCCCCCCCCCTCTTTCTTTATTGCCACAGCTGCAACATCTTTGCATGGTGTGGAGTTTGCCCATCGGCTCGTGGGATCCCCCCCCCCCATGCTTTTGTTTCTCATGCTTTCGTTTAGATGATAGGTGAGTGCTGGACTTAAAGTCCCTGACATGGCCAGACCTGTGAATTATATCAAGGAGGTGTTCCACCTCATCATACTGCCAAAATGTCCCTCTTCTCCTGGCAGCCATTTTAAATTTAGTGTTACAATGCTCCCGCAATGTAGCGCTTTCAAAATCCTCCTCCTGCTCCCCCCTTCCCAGAGTTCAGCAGAACTCAAAAGAGCCTGTTCTTTTAACCATTATGCTGCTGCCTCAAAGCAGGAGTCAATGGGCTGCAATCACTCCAAGCCAACCCCCCCCCACATCTCCTAAATTCATAATCACAGACACCCAAGCAGCACACAATCCCAGAAATTTAGAGCTCAGTGGCAGCACTGAGACAATGTAAACAGTACTTAATCTAAAGATTGCTGCCTCAAATGCTGGACTGCAACATGGATAGCCCCAATTTAAGCACAGGAGCAGAATGGGGTGAGGATGTGATGAAGAAAATATGTAGGTGAAAACCAAATGAAAACCACACTTCTTTTTTTTTTGAGGGGGGGAGGGGAAAAAACAGGAGGCAACGCATGTGCTATGGCTACGCCCCTTGGTGGTGCATCACAACGCAACCACACATGCTTTTTAAAAAAAGGGGGGGGGAAACAAGGCTGAGGAGTGGCAACACACGGGGAAAGGCAGAAAAGTAGCATATGTGGAAATCAAGATCTGACACAAAATGACCACAAAAGGCGAAGAGTTAACTGTTGTGCAGAACTTGTGCATCACATCCGGACCTTTGGAACGCACAGGAAAATGAAAGCAAACTGTTAATGTGGAATCAGCCTGATGTATCCATTTGTGCACAATTTCTATGGACACAGTCAAAGAAAGAATGCTTAGCTGAACTGAGATTACTAGTTTCCTATTTCCACACTCTTGAAGATATAGTGGAATTAGAATGTTCTCTAAAAAGCATACTCCTATTAGGATTGGGTCCAACTCCAAAGTGGATTCCATTCTATTAACATTAAAGCCTAATACTGGAGGAATGTATCTTCCACTGTTGGAAGGGTTCTTGTACCAGCAAAACATTTCGTTCCCCTCTTAGCACAGTGGAACTTTTAGATCCAAGCCACTATACTGAAGATTTGATTATAATAAAAACTTGATGTTCCATTCCCCCCCCAATTTCTGTAGTCATCCTCAGTGATAATCTTGTTGCCTTTCTCCTCCTGCCCTTTTACCTTTTGCAGTTTGTACAGACTTCCCAGGATTTCTTCAGAATATTGAAATGGCCTCTTTAAAAGGTGAGTCCTTTTGTACCAGCATTTTGAAATGTTATTTTTTTTCAAAAGTCATTCAGCTTGTGCCGATTGAACACATCACATTGTTTATACCTCTTGTCTTTCTTGAATTGCATAACTAGTCAGATATAAAGCCTTAGGAGGCAAATCAGAAGATTGTATCATACCATTTCTTTTCCTTCTTTAGGAACTATGATGGGTCGAAGCATACCTGTTGAAATTGATGAAACTGGAACTTGGTCTCCATTTCCAGAACACTCTTTGGAAGTCGGACTGAAATCTTCTGATGAAAATACAGAGAACTTGGTGCCCATAAACTTTTACCCATTGCAAGTATCTTGTCATTCAGTGGCTGGGCAGTCACATTTTTACAGGTTCCCTACCCATGTAGACTGTCATAATGTTGTGCTAGAAGAGTGTGACTACGATCTCCCAAAACAGTGCCAGGATTCTGGAAGGGCGATGCCCCCTGATGCATCCCGTGAATCAGCAGCTTCATCAGAAATTCATATTTTATCTATAGACAAAACAAACAAGGTGTTAAGGTCTCAACCATCATCTGAGTCTCCTGATGCTGGACACAATTCTAGTAGTGCACACAGAGGTTCATCTGACGTTTGTCAGAATTCATTTGGTGAAAGTCAAGAGACAGCAAAATCAAGTCAGACCCAGGATAATAGACCGCCACTAGATCTACCAACAGAAGATGCAGGATATGACTCTCAGCCTCTGGATGTAATGGGCATCAGGCAGCTAGAACCTCCATTGCCACTTACATCTGTGTATAATCTACAGGACTTTCCAAGACCATTAATGTCCAGAGACTTTCCACAGATGGGCCATCAGCCATATCCTGTGATCCCACCAATGCCTCATCCTAATGCTTCCCCACAAGCTCAGTGGCATTCTAGATACACTCCAGGTGACATATGCTGCCAGAATCCATGTAAGTTAATTTGTCAGTGTGCTTTTTTCTATTTAGCTCAGGCTTTTGCAAAAGATTCCTACTGTATTTTGTCATAGGTACCATGTGTTGCTGATTTCCATTATGTGTTGCTGGCCATCATCTGTTCCCAGATTTTCACTATGCCACTGAGGCAGAACATTCAGTTCAATAAATCAGTGCCAGGTCTCAAAGCAAGGCAAAGACTCTCTGCTAATATACATAACAAGAAAGAAGACCCGCAAAACTCGCGGGGGGGGGGAGCTCCAAACTGAGCAGGCGGAGGAACCAGCAGGAGCAGGTAAGCTCTCCCCCCCCATCCCGCCGGTTCCTCCAAGCCCTCATCAGTCTTTACGGTTAAATCACAGTTCGCATAGACCTTGTTTTCAAATGTCCCCTTTTTCTGCAAACGAGGATCTTTACATTTCTTTCGCTAATCCATGCCTCTGTAAAGACCTTGTAGAAATTCACTTGCCCATCTCTTAGATGAATTACGGTCTCAGGTTTCACTCCGTCAGCCGTCCGAACGCAGAGCCACTCCCAGCCGCTCGAACTCACTTCTCCGCGTCCGCGGCTCCTTCCGTTTGCAATTTTAAAGATATCGTACAGCATACAACTTGCAGCCTCCAATCCTTTCTTTCCACAGAACCCGATTAAGGTCAGATATCTCTCGAAGGTTCACTGGAGTCTAGGTGAGGAATAACCCCACGAGGCCCCCCCCCGGCTCTGAGGCGGTGGCGGCGAGGCCGGCTGCAGAGTGTTCCCTGCGCATGCGCAGGGGACGCTCTGTCACTTTTGGGGGGATTTAAGTATCCCCCCGATGTTTTTTCCAGGTTTTTAGATTTTTGTGCACACCTGGGGACTGCCCCACGTGTGCACAAAACTCTCCCTCCCCCCCCAGCTGCCCCCAATGCACGGATTTAGGTATCTGCACGCACGGGGGCCACTTCGCTATTAGATATATAGATCTTTCCATTTGGTTCTGCAGCAGCTGGCTTCCTCTCTTAGGACTTCTTCTCCTGCTAACATGAATTCAGTAGCTTGCCTTCCTATTGTATCCTCTCAGTATTATCAGTCCATTAAGAAGCTGGCTCGCCTGCTAGGTGAACTAGGCCTTCGCCTAGAGCGCGAGCTGGTCGTTAGGGGCGGGAGAAGAGGCAAGAAGGGCGGGACGGAAGGGGGCCGAGGGGAGCACTGCCTGGGCCAGCGGTGCCATGGCGAGGCAGGCAGGCAGGGAGCCAATCCGAGGGGCGCCGCCAGCCCGCCGGCCCAATCAGCGCCCAGTGGGAAATCCCGTGTGTTAAATGCGCGGGAATCCTGGCGGCTGCCACCCTCCAAGACACTCCTGGCCGGCTCCAGGAAGGCACTCTTCCCCCCCTCCCCCTGCAGTTCCACACCTGTGCCCGCAGAAGCTTCTCCCCAGAATCAAATGGGGGCTGGTCTCCGAGGTGACCACCCCGGGGGACTCGCCCTGTAGGACAAGGGACCACCTGGATCTCTGCCGCCCCCTTCCCAGTTGCCCCTGAAGCTTCCCCGAGGGGGATTAGCGGCGGGGGCTTCCCCCCAGAGGCGGCCAGTGATGATGCAGTGAAGCGGGGAACTCTCCGGGGCCAGCGAGGGTCTCCCATTCCCCGACGTCTCCCCTAGACGGATCAGGAACCAGCTCAGCCCTGGGGGGGGGAACCGTGGCCTCTTGGGGAGGGAGGGGCCCCCCAGAGTAACTCCCTTCTTCTCCCCCTGCCTGCCCCGTCTGTCCCCACAGCCGCCCACTTCCATAAGTACCAGTATGTGGCAATACAGGAAATTAGGGATGCCAGACTACAGGTGGGCCCTGGGGACCCCCTGGAATTACAACTCATCTCCAAACTACAGAGTTCAACTCCCCTGGGAAAAAAATGAATACTTTGGAGAGTGGATTCTATGGCATTGTACTCCACTGAGGTCCCTGTCCACCCCAGGCTCCACCCCCTATTTCCTAGCAGAACATGGCCTCCCAGTTTCCCATACCTCTGTGCCTCATCTTGTCTAGAGTATGTGGATCTCATGACTTTTGTAGCCAGCTAGGAAGGCTAGCCCAGTGTTGTCAGATCTCAGAAGTTAAGCAGCATGAACTCTGATTAGTTCTTGGATGGGAGATCACTTACCAAGTCCAGAGCTGCTATGCAGAGGCAGGCAATGGTAAGCCACCTCTGAACGTCTCTTGCCATGAAACCCCTATGGGATTGTCATAAATTGACTGTGACCCGAGGGCATTAAAAAAAGGGAAGGAGATCCCAGAGGTGATATCAGTCTGCTTGCTTTCCCCCTAAGGATATCAGTCTCCTTGGTGCTTGCTGACCTTCCAGGGCTGTGAAACAGGATGCTGGACTGGATGGACAACTATTTTGATCCAGCAGAGCCTTTGCCTTGTCTCCCCTCCCTTCTGCCAGCAACCAGCTTGCTGGATTCCTCAAGCATGTTGCTTCTGGCTAAAAGCAATCCTAGTTTGTGCATGATGGCTAGTAATATACTCTGGATTACATTACAATTGCGTGGGGAAAATTACACAGATTTTCATTCAGGCAGGTGACTTTGAAAAGTATGAGCAAGTAATAACAAAATTTGAAAATTTGTAGAATCCTGTATTGCTGTGTAGGAGTACCTAATGTCTGTTAATTCCTAGGCCTGGACAATTTGGTCCATCTAATATGTGTGAGCAAAATACACTTCTGTTTGAGTACTGGAAGGTTAGGCCCTCATCACACCAGACAGCTCCATTAAGTTTAAACATCATGTTAAACCATGATTTATGTACAAGATCTAGCTAGCCAAACAGATATAAGTAACAAATCCTGGTTGGTACATACATCACCTCCCCTCTACCTCCCAGCAAGGAGGACATCCTCTTAATATTAATGTATCATAGCTGAGCAGCTACCAGAGGCAGTGCTACTCAACAAACTATGGTTTAAAAAATCAAAAATAATAACAAACTGCTAAATTCAAACTGTGGCTAACAAATCAGCTACAAGTTTGGTGCCAACAAATTCCAGTTTGTTGTATTATTTGCATTCAGGCGTCACAACTAAGGCAGGAGTAGCCAACCTTGTTTAGCCCCAATGCCAAAAAAATGCAACATCTACTTGTGAAGATAAAGTGTGTGTGTGTGGGGAGGGAATGGGGGTTGTACTTGGCCAGACACTATGACTGCCAGATGTGAGTTGGGAAATTGGGGGGGGGGAGATGGATTTGAGGACGGAATGGACCTCAGCAGGGTATAATACCATAGAGTCTACCCTCCACGGCCCTTTTCTGGAAATTAATTGTAATAATGGTAGATCTCCAGGTCCCACCTGGAGGTTAGCAAGCCACACATTCAGGTCTGGTGTGATGCTGCTGCCATGCATGCCATTAGTTTAGGATTGCCAGCTCTGGGTTGGAAAATACCTGGAGATTTTGGGGGTGGAGCCCGAGGAGGGTGGGGTCTGGAGCATAGCGACAGAGTCCACCTTCCAAAGCAACCATTTTTCCCAGGTGAACTGATCTCTCTCACCTGGAGATCAGTTGCAATAGTGGAAGATCTCCAGCCACCACCTGGAGGTTGGCAACCCTACATGAGTTTCCTACTCTTGCTCAAACCATGTTTTAAAAATGATGACTTTTTGTGACTTCTGAAGACAGCCCTAGTTTGCAGCACAGACTTGAACTAATTGCTTTGTCATTCTAGCTAGTGAAATTTACAACATAAAAACAAACATTACTAAATTAGATGTAAATTCATATAACCTCCCCTTGCTTCTTTCCACCCCTTTAAACATTTCCTAACTTAACTGCACTGTTCTAACAAAGCTCCATTTTAAACCAATATGTAATCTGAGCCACATTTCACAAGACCCCAAAATAAACCAGATGATTTGTTCAGAACTGGAGGCAGTATATTGCTTGCTAACTTCCCACCATCTACAGCGAGACATAAAATTGCTTCCTGACAGCTTTTCATGTTTCCAGTGATTACTGGGCAATCATCACTCACAATGGGGTTTTGCACTTAGTGTGTTCTAATGTGTACCTTCTAGACAGAAGCAATCTAGTATGCAGTGCTCACAGTCTGTAATCTAGCTGTGGGTGCCTGCTCTCTGAGATTCATAATAGACTCACAGCTGAATTTCAAAGGGATTCTCTAAACTGTACTTTTTTGGAAAGAGTGTTATGGTTGTTCCTGATATCAGACTCTCTGATATGTGAGTACTGGAGCAGAGGAGGGAGAAAAACCAATGTTTACTCCTATTAAAATATTATGATTGTGGAAGTGTAGCATTATTGTCTCTTGTGCTCTTATCACGAGTCATGTAACTTTTAAAGTGTGTAATCTAGCCCAAGTTAAGCACTTTGAGTCTCAGTGATTTCAACAGGGAGTTAAGTGGGTGCTGCTGAACTCTCTCCCATTATAGTCAGTTGGACTGAAAAGTGCTTAACTGTCTGTGTCATACCCAATGGAGTTTTCTTGAATTAAAAAACAAATGGTAAAACCATGAGACACAATACAGCCAAAACGACACATGAATCCCATTGAACTGAATGGAATCATTAAGTATGTGCTTCATTTTTTTTACCTCTGAAAACAATGAGACTTGCTTTGTTTTTGGCTGGTTTTAATCCAAAAAGACAATTTCTCATGAAGAGAAACCTGACTGCAGTGTGTATTTTTCAAAAAGGCTCCAGTATTTCTGCTCATAATGTTAAATATATCATAACTAGCAGTAAAGCCCGTTGTGAAAGCAATACAACGAGATCTAGAAAGAGGCTCTGGGGGAGTGCTCTGGCTTTGGGCAAACAGTGTCAATTTGCTGTGGTGACCTCAGCAGGGTATAATGACAGAGTCCACTGTTTTCTCCAGAGGAACTGATCTCTGCTACCTGAAGAGCAGTTGTAATTGTGAGTGATCTCTAGCCCTCACCTGGAGATTGGCAGCAATTGTTACCCAGGACAAAGTGGCTGGTTTGGAGGGTGTAGTCTATGGCATTCTACCTGTCTGAGGTCCCACCCCTCTGCAAACCCCACCCTCTCCAGGCTCCACCCCTCAAATCCCCAGGAATTTGTCAGCATGTAGTTGGCAACCCCATCTCCTTCCCAGCTAACCATCAACCTACCATTATCTGCCCCTTTGACTTCAGCTGACTTCTGCCCTCCCTTCTGCAGAGCAGTTGTAATTCTGAGTGCTCTCCAGCCCTCACCTGGAGATTGGCAACAATGGTTCCCTATGTGGGACTGACTGGTTTAGAGGGTGGAGTCTATGGCCGAGTACCTGTCTGAGGTCCCACCCCTCCTCAAACCTCACCCTCTTCAGGCTCCATCCCTCAAATCTCCAGGAATTTCCCATCTGGAGTTGGCAACCCTATCAGGACTGGCCCCAATGTGTTTTCTCCCAAAGGCCAAAGTAGGTGACAGGACCAAGCTTAGTTGCCTACCAACAGGCACTGAGGGGAATGTAGGGTTGCCAGCTCTAAGGAGGGAAATACCTGGAGGTTTGGGGGGTGGATTCTGTAGAGGGCAGCATTGGGCGGAGCGGAAGGACTCAGCAGGTATAATGTCATAGGGTCTACCCTCCAAAGCAGCCATTTTCTCCAGGGGAACTGATCTCTGTCATCTGGAGATCAATTGTAACAGTGGGAGATCTCCAGGTCCCACCTGGAGATTGGCAACCCTAGGGGAAAGTCAGCTGCACAGCAGGGGGTTGAAGAGAATGGTTTGATGGCTGCTGGGCCAAGATTGGCAACAATAGTTCCCCAGGAACCTTGAAGGTTCCATATGCAACTGACATTCCAACTGCCTTGGGGTGAGGGGGGTGAGTTTGAGGTGTGGAATGCAGTGAAGTCCAATCAGCTTCCATATGCAAAAGACCTTGAAACACTGGGCGGGACTGCACAAAGCAGCCAGTCAACCCAGCCAGTGTCTTCTGACTGACAGTTCAAGCGTCCATACACTAAAGGAGTGCATTTTAGAACTTTGGCACCCACTATTCAATTATATATAAGGAGAGATATTTTGAACTCAAATTCCAGTGTTCTTAGTTTTCAAGTGTCTCTGAATTCTAAAATCACTACATCTCTGAGTAAGGGAAACATTTGTGTCATTCTGTGGAAGTCACCATGGACTGTTTAATTTATTGTGAACCTTTCCCATTTACTCAGATGGTGAAGGAATTTTTTATCCTGCCATAGCACACAGCACATCCTAAAGATGTCCTTGGTCACAATCCAATATAGAGTTCAGGATGCTTCAGGTTTAAGATTTCTATGGGCTTAAGTGTGCTTAACTTAACTCCGTATTGAATCACAGCTGTTCTGTGGCATACTGAAATCTTTTGTGCACAAGTAGTTTAACTAGGCAATCACTTGAGGGTTTTTTAAAAAATGGATCTGTTTGTTCTGAATTTTATCCTAGATGGGCAAACGCCGTACCAACACTTTGTACATCACCCTCAAAAACAGCATCCTGTTCCTGGCTCTTGCATGAGAGGCATTCATCCTGCTTGGAAAATAATCCCAAATTATTCCAGTCCTTATTCTCCCAAATGCAATGAAGAAAGACTTCCCCAAAGAGGAATCTCTTCTTCAGAAGTTCACAGATTACAGTAAGTTTGCACTACTGAGAAACCAAACAGTAATCTCCGGTAAAATTGGAGCTATAAATCCACATATTGCAAGCAGGGTATGATGACTGAAGTACCGGTAATCCTCTGTACAATTGCCTACTATTAGCATGCAGTCTGGGAGTGATAAAACTGTCATTAGATACCTCTGTAAGTAGCTGAGTGTGAAGTCACTTTTCTCCCAGAGTATTTGGGTACATTTTTAAAAGTTCAGCCCAGTTTACATTAAGAGATTTATCAAGGAGTTTCAGTTGTAGCATAGCAGGGTGGTTGTTGTTTTAATTTCAAGCTTTTTCTGTCTCTGAACAGTATTAGAACATCTTAGGCATTCTTCTGAAATGCTTTTTGTAGCCTTCATTTGCAATGGGCATGTGTCTAGGGTTGCCAGCTCTGGGTTGGGAAATATCTGGAGATTTGGGGGGAGGAGCCTGTAGAGGATGGGGTTTGGGGAGGGACCTCAACAGGGTATAATGCCATAGGTTCCACCCTCTGAAGCAGCCATTTTTTCCAGGGGAACTGATTTCTGTCACCTGGAGATCAGCTGTAATCCCAGGAGATCTCAGCCATACATGTGTCAGCCCACCAGCTGTGCTGGGAAAGAGTTCCCCCCGCAGTTTCGTGATCCTGTTTTTTGAGGATCACGAAACTGCGGAGGAAATCGGGCAAAGCCGCGGGTCAAATGCAGCCCCGCAGCTTCGGGTGTGAAATTGACCAATAGTATCGGGGCAAACGGCGGTGCAACATAGAGGCAGCTCTAGTGCGAAATCAGCCTATATGTGTGTGTGTCTCTCTCTTTAAAACTAAAAGATGTACTGGGACCTTGTCCGTGAGCCACAACTTCTCCCTTGTAGGCAGTGTAGCCCTGTTACCCCAATGCCTTGCTCCTCTTGTCCCCTGATCCTTATCTACCCTTGCTCAACAACTTCTGCATGTCTCTTCAACTCAGCTTGTCCTTCCATCCTGCTCCATTTCTTCTTTTTCTTCTGCCAGGCCCCCGGACTTGCCTCCTCTAGTGCTTTTCTCTTATACCACCACCTTAGACTTCTTACATAGAAAGATCCTCTGCCTTTGCCCTTCAAGATGCGGCCCAGTCCTCTCTCTTGGTGAAGCAGGTGTATGCATTGAGTTTCACCGTGCTTCTTGTTGTTGTTGTTGTTCAGCCGCACAGTCGAGTCTGACTCTTCGCGACCCCCTGGACCACATCACACCAGGCCCTCTTGCCTTCCACCATCCTCCGGAGTTTGCTTAATTTCATGTTCATTGCATCAATAACATTGTCTAACCATCTCGCTTTGACGTCCCCTTTTTCTTTGACCTTCAATCTTTCCCAGCATCAGGGTCTTCTCCAGTGAGTGCTCCCTTCTCATTTGGTGGCCAAAGTATTTGAGCTTCAGCTTCAGTATCTGGCCTTCCAGGGAACAGTCAGGGTTGATTTCTTTTAGGATTGACTGATTCGATCTCCTTGCAGTCCAAGGGACTCTCAAGAGTCTTCTCCAGCACCATAATTCAAAAGAATCTATTCTTTGGCACTCAGCCTTCCTTATAGTCCAACTCTCGCAGCCATACATGACTACTGGGAATACCATTGCTTTGACCATGCGGACTTTTGTTGGCAGGGTGATGTCTCTACTTTTTATTATGCTGTCTAGGTGCACCATCGCTTTCCTCCCAAGGAGCAGGGGTCTTTTAATTTCATGGCTGCAGTCACCGTCTGCAGTGATCTTGGATTCCAGGAACGTGAAGTCTGTCACTGCTTCCATGACTTCACCTTCTATTTGCCAAGAAGTGATGAGGCTGGGTGCCATGATCTTAGTTAGTGAGGACTGCTGTTTGCTTGAGGGCTCTCTAGCTCTGACTTTGATAGCCACACAGGTGTTTTTGGACCTTAATTGGAAGATGTTCTAATACAGCAACTGTGCATTTGGCACCAGACACATGACTTTCACCTTTTGAGGCCTCACAAACATCTTTGTCATGTGTCTTTAGATCTTGCTGCTTAACCTTCCTCTTCCTGGTCCATTATTCACTTATTGGTTATCTTATTGCAATATGTATTTAAGTTATGTGTACCTCAATATTGTTTGACCTCTGAAGAAGGCCCCAGTAGTGCAGAAACGTGTCAGGTCATGTGTATTGGCCCTTGTGTTTAGGCTATAGTTTTTTATGAGGCTTTCATTGGGCCCTTCTGTATGTTTTTAACTGTCTTTCTAATAAATACTTGTATTTTTGTATATTATAGGTTTTTAATATTGCCCCTTCATTAGACTTTCTTCTCACCCTTTTGGTTCTTGTACCTCAATCATACCTATGTTGCACTTTTAACATGATGTATTTTAAGTCATCTGCTTAACTGTCTTTTCAATTGTGTGTGTTTGTATTTTGTAAGCTACCTTGGGCATTGTGGAAAGGCAGGATAAAAAAATATGTAAACTTATGTTAAACTTATCATATGTTAAACTTATCTATTTTGTTTGCTTATTCCTCTTGAAATCTGTCTCACAGCTAAAGTAGCTTTTTCTATAAAAAGACAATTCTTATTTTTTTAAAAAAATACACATTTTTTTTTAAAATTCTCAGCTTTCAGTATTTTCCAGCTGACCATTCTCTTTCTTCCCAGTGGCCCGTTACAGAATCAGCTACTTGATGGAAGGGTATCATCCAATGCATATGGTGCCTATGAAGATATGAACGGGTACCCGCCTGATTGCATGGCTCAGGTTACTAAACCTCCATACCCAGCCGTTGTCCCAAGACCTCCAAGTAATTCTGCAGTCAGGGGAACACTGAGAACAAGTAACTTGCCAGAAGAATTGCGTAAGTTGTTGCCAGGCTTTTGTGGGGTTTTTTACAAGTTTTGTTATGTTTAATCTCTGAAAACTGTACATGAAGTTATAGGATTTGAAAGAAAGAAGATCTCCTATTTCATCCTCCTAGCAGGAAAGTAGAAACACATCTGAACCACACCCAGCTGACCCCTTATGCTAGTTGTGGCCAATGCTCCCTCTAAGCTGTGGAGTCTTGTGAGCAAAAAAATCAACTTTGTAAGCTACTGGCATTAAAGCTGTGAGCGAGCGATTTGGCTGCTGCATAAATCAGTTTGCTTTGGGGCCATTCTTTCTGAGCTAAGACAAAAATGTCTGAGCTGGAGGCTAAAAAACTGTGAGCTAGCGCACACTAACTCAACTTAGAGGGAACACTGGTTATGGTTCCTCCAGGGATGCCTCATCACAACTTCTTTTAATAGTGAGACATCACTTATGGTCATCTAAAGCTGATGTCTGCCACTTGTCATGGGGTTTGATCCTCCTGGTGTCTTTTTCCTGAAAGTAAACTTACAAGGCAGGGTCAAGTCCAAACCAAATTAGAATTTCTGCGGTTCGCTGGGCACTGTTCCAGATGGGAAATGCCTAGAAGCAACTCTTTTAGGTTGGAAGGTTATAGCTACTCTCCAGATTTTTGAGGAAACACATCTAGTGCATACTGACCTCAATGGATGGGGAGATGTGTGGTCTACAAAATAATCCATAAGGCCTTCCTTGTCTACTGCAAGCTTGCCAAGTGGCTGTTCCCTCACTTTTAGGGTTTTAATAACAAAAGCTTGCATTCATATAGTTGTTTCAGTGTTCCTATAAGGCTACTGTCAGCCCTATAAGGTAGGCTGGTAATATTCTTATATGGAAGAGCAGGGTCTGAGTCAGAAAATAGCTGTCACTGTCTAAGGAGAAACACAGTTTGAATAAGGGAACCCTGGATCTTAGTTCGTTTTCTCAGCTGTACCAGGTTTTCCTGGGGAAGATGCGGTAATATAACAACTTGCACATGCAGCCCCAAAATGCAGCCATTTCAGACCAGGAAAAAAGAAAGGGGGAGGAAAGAGCCAATGCTGAGGTCCTGAGCAGAGTTGGGCCCCTGAAATTGAAAAACAGTACTCCACAGTTCCTATGTGATTGTGGGGAATGTGTCAGGTCTAGGTTTTTCAGTAAAAGTTGCAACATCTAGTTTGAGCCTGATTCTCACTCACTCTTTCTCCTACCTATCCAGCCCTTCCCACAATTCCTAAATGTTGATAATAACTGTTTAGTTGAGTGCATTTCTGATATCTGCAGATGAGGTTTGGATCATGTCATCCATAATGAAGTTTTGACCTTATATCCCTTTGAGGAACAGATATGAGTCTGAAGGATGAAGTGACTTTGTTATTCCTCCAGAACATAATAATTCTCTTGTAGAAATTGCTTTAGTTGCTAGATCTAGGAATCATTTAACCAGTTAGAGAAGCAGCAGTACTTTTCATCTTATTTTATTTCAGCAAAATTTGCAATACAAAATTCAAAAAGCTAAGCATACAAAGCATTACAAACAAACAAATAATAATCAGTCAGTCAACAAGAACCTTTGCAACTGTAATATCTTTTACAAGATTTCTCTAACACCTTAACTCCTTGACAAAATGATAATTTAAAAAGTATATGGCCACCCCAAAGTTGTATACCAATCATGACTTATGTTTTAGCCAGCACATTCCAAAGCTCGCTTCTATTCAATAAAACAAAAAAAAAGACTGGTCTGCCCAGCAAGACTGTTTGGTATTGCTCACTAGACCATTTTGTGCAAGAAGCAGCAGTACTTGACCACCAAATGTGCTTTTGTATTCCCAAGAGTCATGGGAACAGGATGTGGGACAAATTAAAGAGTAATCCGAAGGATCCCAGGGGAGGTGCCTTGCCATGAACGTAAGACCATCAAGCCAGCTCAGTTTTGTTATATAAATAATCAAATAAGTTAGAGCTTGCAGTCTTCACAGTCAGAGTTGGAGCTCTTTTTCTCCCCCCCCCCCCCCCGAGTTGCCAGCTCTGACTCATCACATTCATGTGAACATCTCTCCTAGGTAAAGTCTTTATAACCTATTCTGTGGACACAGCTGTGGAGGTCATGAAATTTGTGAACTTTTTGTTCGTAAATGGATTTCAAACTGCAGTAAGTAGTCCATCCTGGAAGAACGAATAGCAGCCAAGGGAACTGGTGGGAGTTGGGGAAAGAGATAGGTCACCTGCATGTTGAAAGTTTATTTTCATTCTGGTTAATGTTTCTGCTTACATTGCTGAATGTTATATTTAAGAAATGTGGGGAGGAACTCCTTTGAATAGGATGTTGAAATTCCATTATTGCAGTATCCATTTTAAATAGATGCATTGCAGCTCTTATGGAAAGAGGTTGAACTGACAGCTCTTGAAAGCAGCAAATTATTTCTGTAGCACTGCAAATGTACAGCATGCTTTGCAGTTTGTTGTGCAAGGATCACAGCTATCTGCCACTGAGAATGGGTGAGAGGGAGAGGCAACTCTATGGTTGAACAGTGCTCTAAACTCTGGTACACAGGTACAAATCTAGAACCATTCCCTCCAGACTAACCTGTATATTAAAACCAGTCTGTCCCCTGGTCACCCTTACATACTGGAAGGTCCTTCAATTACCAAGAGATGCTTGGATGCCACCAGTGCAATGCTGATCCTGCATTTTGCTAATTCCATGGTAGCAGTGTGTCCTGACCTCTGTTGGCAAGAGGGTTTTTGTCTCTACCTACTGCAGAGTCTCAGGTGACAAGGGGGGGGGAGAAAAATTATCCTAAATATTCCTGGTCAGCTGGAATATTGCTAGTATCAAAGGACAAATTAAGCTGCTGAAATCATAGAATCATAGAGTTAGAAGGGATCTCCAGGGTCATCTAGTCCAACCCCCTGCACAATGCAGGAAATGCACAAATACCTCTCCCAGGGGAGGTGCTTGTTTCCTAGTAACAGAAGGGACAGCATTGCTAGCTTATATACAGAATTATCAACATTCGGACTCTAAGGGCTAAACTAGTGGTGATGGAGGCATACATGCATTTGTATTACATGACCAACCTGTTCACCTTTAAAATGGTAGCCAATTGTTTTATAGCAAGTGGAGTGCATGTGCTCCAATGCTGCAGTCCATTTAACACACATGAAGCTTCCTTATATTAAATTAAACCATATCAAGATCAGTATTGTCTACCCAGATTGGCAGCATTTCTCCAGAGTCTCAGGCAGAGCTCTGTTTACATAATCTACTGCCTGGTTCTTTTAGGTGGAGATGCTGGGGACTGAACCTGGGGTTTTCTCCATGCCAAGCAGATGCTCTACCTTGACAAAATGATAATTTAAAAAGTATATGGCCACCCCAAAGTTGTATACCAATCATGACTTATGTTTCAGCTATGGCCCCTACCATCTTTGAAGCATTTTTTCTATCAGCCACTTCCAGTACCATAACTGAAACAGGCTGAAAGAAAAATATTTTCAGCTACAAAGTACAATGACATAAGGATGTAGCAGGGTTTAGGTCTTCTCACCTGTGATTAAAAACAAAACAAAACATCTACGCTCTTTGCGGCTCCAGTTCTTAGGTGGGAGGGAGAGGTTTGCTCGGATGCCCATGGTCCCACCTGAAATCACCACACTCACCACGATTTTGGAAATAAGTGGAATAAATTGGCCACAACTTTATTGGTTACAGCTGTAAGCAGCACTGGCACAGCATGGGTCCATCGGATCCGATACATCGGCTGACCCGCCACCAGCCGATGGACCCCAGTCTCCCAGTCAGCCGATGTGGAAGAAAATCACGGGATGGCAGGTTACTGGGGATCACACAGACAACTGCCCCTTCGTGATCCCCCCTGCCATCTGGTCATGAGGGCAAGTGCTGGTAGTCCTTGAGCAAGCTTGCTCCTGTCAGCCCTTACACCAAGACCCCTTAAGGAGGTCCCCACCTCCCGTAAATGGCACACAGGCCTATTTCCATAAACGGATCTGACCCCATGCTGTTACCACCTAAAGTTGTGACAAAAGAGAATATATACAAAGCAGTCCATCATGCAAGTTATACAGTCAGAAACATTGTTCCCCAGTTGGCATACCTAGAGGGTGGGACGGGTGGGCAGTATGGTAGCCGGGCGGTGGAGGCGAGCAGCCAGTTTGCTCCCGCTCTTTAAATCCTCCCCTCCCTCAGCCAGGCTGGAGCTCCATCATTGGTCAGAGGTGAGGGAGGAGGGCTCAATTTTCCTGCCACTCACCTGCCCCCCACCCCCTCCACCCTGCCACACTACCTGTCCATCAAGTGTGATGCTCCCCCCGCCTGACGCCGCAAATGGCGGGCTGCACCGAGCCAGGCCCTTCTTGTTTCCCCAATTCACACTTAAATATTAAGACACATGAATAAATACACCCGAATTTGCCCCCCCCCCGGCCATAATGTCTAACCTGGCCCTAACTGGAGGGCAAATCAGAGCCAAACACCTTAATATTGTGACAGATATCTAGGGGTACCCTTGTTAGTTTGCTACAGCCTAAACAAAGTCAACTTAAAGATAAATGCTAGCAAGGGAAAAATCATGTCTGATTTATTTTCTTATAGATTGATATATTTGAGGACACGGTTCGAGGTATTGACATAATTAAATGGATGGAACGATACCTGAGTGATGTAAGTAAAAATGAAATGTAATCTTGCTGTTTGCATTATTATTTTCCCACACTGGCAGCTGAAAAAAACCCTGTACGTTTGACAACTAGAACGCCATGAACTAAAATAGAAACTACCCTCCCCTGTGGGTTAATTATTCATGTTTTTCCTGTCCTTATCTTCTTCCCCCTTTCTAATTTAAAATTTGAGCCTTTGAGTGAGAGAGAGACACACACATCTTTCTTATGCCAGTAAAACACTGCATGTCTCTACTTAAAAACAAAATACGTCATCTGTAGAGGTAGGGAAGCCATTCCCAAACAAATGCTTAGCCCCATCAGGAACATGTGGGCTGACCACTGTTGAAAACAAAATGCCTGACTAGAGAGACCTTTGGCCTTACCCATGGGGACTGTTCACATATTCTTAAAGCTGACAGCCCTTTGATGCAGGGCTACTGAGAGTCACCACGAGCCCCCAAAGATTCCACCTGCCCCCCCACATGACCCTTATCTAATTATACCCATGTGTCTAATTTTGTAATTTTATATTTGTACACAGTCCAGGGCTCTTTTTGTAGAAAAAGCCCAGCAGGAACTTATTAGCATAATAGGCCACACCCAACAGCAGAAACTCATCAGCATATTAGGCCACACCTCTGACAGCACAGCTCATTAGCATATATATGTGTACCAAAGAAAAAGAATATGGACTGAAAAAGACAGAGATAGAAAGAAAGCAAGAAAGACAGAAACACAAAAAGAGATAGAGGAGAGTAAGAGGGACACAGAGAAAAAGAGAGACAAAAAAGAGAGAAAGGCAGAAAGAGAAAGAAAGAGAGGGAAAAGACGAAGTAAGAAAAAGAGAAAGAAACAAAGAGAGGAAGGAAGCAAAAGATAGAAAACAGATGGGGAGAGAGGAGTAAAAGAAAGAAAAACGAAAGGAAGGAAAGAAGATGAACAGAAAGAAAGACAATAGGAAGGCAGCCAGAAGCCTCCCTTTCACTCCCTCTTGTTTTTTTTTGGGGGGGGGAGTGAAAGGGCGCCCTGAAATGGCTGCCCACCCGCCCTTTAAAGGGAGCAGCTGACGGTCGGATTGCAGGTCAGCTGATAGCTTTAAATGGCTGGCAGCTCTCCCTCCCTTTCTCCCTGGGTGCTAGGATGTGCATTCTGAGCAGAGTACAAAGACATGGCATTGCTTTCCAAGTGCAGAGGCTCAGTAACCAGGCTACAATTGGCAAAGCTTCCGTCATTCTTTACTGGAGTTCCTTGAGCATCAAAGCCATTAGCTTTTCTAGGAACTGGCTTCTGATACTTGGTGGGCTGGAGGCACCCAAATTCTTTTAAGACTGACCTTTTGTTCTCCTCCAAAGAGCAGCAGCCCGCGGGCTCCCCCGGCACCAGCAGGGGCCACTTGCCGCCCGCCTCGTCGCCCTGGCCCCTCTCGCCAAAGAGGCACCCACCGCTGCCTCTTCCTGCAGGGCTTCTCGGCCAGGGGTAGCCCATTCCCAGGCCAGGAGGTCACCTCTGCGCCGGCTGGAGCAAGCAGCGCCCACCCGCCTCTCTCTCTCTCTGTCCCAGTTCCCCCTGGGCCTCCCATCGCAACCCCACCCCAGACGGAGAGGCCTGCGTTGACGAAGCCATTGGACCCCCCCTTACCTAGGGGAGAGAGTAACAATGAGGCAAGCGGCAGCAGTGGGAACGCAGGAGCCACGGTGGAGAAGCGAGACACGGCTGGAAGCCCAGGCCCAGGGCGCTGAGGAGAGGCACCCAGACCGCAACAACCGGAGGCATGAGATCAGGGGTGACCCCGGATCGGGTGCAGAGGGAGCCGGAGGAGGTCCGGCTGAGTCCCAGAGGAGGCCAGCGAGAGTAGCGCAGAGGTGGGATGAGCAGAGAGGAAGAGTGGTGCCGAAGCCCAGGTGCACATGTGGTTGGCTGCTTCAGTTTCACTTTTACCGAGCACAGCCACTTTTGGTGAGGTGAGGGAGGGGAAGGGAGGGGCGGGCTCAGAAGGAAGGCGGAACACCGTTCCTGGGCATTCCGGCCCAAAAATAGCCCTGGTACACACATATATATGTGTACCAATATAGGATACACTTCTTACATCTGATGAAATGGGCTCAAATGCACACAAACTTCATGTCACAATAATCTTTAGTAAGTTAATCAGTAAGAAATCTATAATATAAAGGTGAATGTCTACAGTAGCAAGGTAGCATTTACAAAGGGATACTAGATGTCCTGCCAATACTGCCTGGACAGTGTTTAATATGTAATTAAATCTAATTAATTGTGAGATGGAGAAGGAGTTCTAACTTATGTTCCACATGTGTAACCATTATGTCAGATTAACATTCCATTACCATGCATGTAAAGGGTGAAGGGGGGGAAGCATCCTTTTATTACTTTGCTAGATCATGGGGAAATACTAACTCCTCCCCTTCTGTTCATAATATTAATAAGGGTTTGCTGCTGTAGTGCTATTAAGTATGTTCTAAATTTTCAAGCAGGACAGGGTGAGAAGAAATTGAGACCAAGACTGACAAATTAAGGGGGGGTGGGAATTAGAGGGGGGAAGAGGTGCAGGCAGATCATGAAAGGAAGAGAACAAAATGACGGAAGAGAAAAGTGTAGAAAAGAGGAAGAGAAATTAAGAAAAGAGAGGTGTTGTTTTATTTTCTACAGTACACTGCTACACCTTTGCAGGATCTGGCTGCACAGACAAAACTATGGAGCTGGGTAGAATGAAAGAAGAGGGAAACCATAGACTGCTGGAGATAACAACTTGTTAGGGGGCTGCATACTGGCAATGACTATAGCAGACATGAACTTGCTGGCTGGTCTTGCATTGCTCAAATCCTAGCTTGGTTGATGGGTTAAGCAAGATCTGATAGGCACAGGGTTGCCAGACCCCCAATCCCAGCGGGTATTTCCCCAATTAAGGGGGCTCCTTCCCCTTGCCAGCCACCTGGCTGGTGGGGGGAAGCCCCGCCTCAAAGATCAACCACCCACGGCGACCCCTAATGCAAGATTTAAAGGGCCCTTCAGCTGGCCCGCCAGTCAGCTGGGGGCTCTTTAAATCTTGCAGGTGGGCAGGAGGGAGAGGGGTGGCCATGCTCGCCTCTTCTTAGGCACCCACAGCCTCCCCCCTTCTTCCAAAAAGCATTTAAAGGGATGTGAATTCGCAGCTTCGAGTGCAGGTGACCACAACCTCTCCCCCACTTCTCTCAAAAAGCATTTAAAAGAACCCTTTAAATGCTTTTCAGAAGAAGCAGGGACCAGGTGCCTGCACTCCAAGCCATGAATTTGCATCTTGGAGTGCAGGCATCCGCAGCCTGTCCCCCCACTTCTCCCAAAAAGCATTTAAAGGGACCCTTTAAATCCTTTTCAGAAGAAGCAGGGGTCAGGTGCCTGCACTCCACGCCGTGAATTCGTGGCTTGGAGTGCAGGCACGTGTGGGGCCCCCTTGCCTCTTCCCAAAGGCATGTAAAGCGACCCTTTAAATGCTTTTGGGGAGAACCTGGGGGCGCCGGTCCCCAACATGATGACATCACTTCTGTGTGATGTCATCATGTTGGGGACAGCCCCTCCAATAACCCCCCCCCAAGTCACCCGCCGAGGACTTGGAAGGACTTGGCAACCCTTAGATAGGCAAGACTTTGCAGAAAGGCATGGTGAGCAGATAGTGATAGCTACTGCTGTTTACTGTGCTCTGTCTTAATAGTTGGAGCACAGAGCTGCATTAGAAGTAAAATAAATTGCAATGCATTTGCTGAATACAGCATGAAGCTGATTTCAGGGGCCCTCCAGCTATCTTGGGCCCCAGGAATTTTGTTTCCCCAGTCCCCTCTCTCAGTGGCCCTGCTTTGGCATTTGTGTTCCAGTCCTTATCCAGTCCCTATGTGTACATCATCTATGTGCAGTTCTGAGACCTGCAAGGGATATGTGTACAAAAGCTCTTTTTTGTGCATAGCTCTCCTTTGTTTTAGCAAAATCCACCTTGCTCTTCTTATCTATCAATAATGGCCAGTCCTGTCCTAGCCTCTCTAACTGCATGAACTTTCTGCTGATTCTCTGCTATTTTCAAGTTTCACAATACAAGCATGTTTGTACTTGGCACAGTGCAAATCTAAGTACAAGCAATGCAACACAGCTCTGAACACGAAACTCTTCAAGCCTAAGCAACATAACCGTATTAGATGTGATAGGACTATTTTTCATCCTTCTGCTTGAGATTGTTTCATTTTAGTTAGAGGGGAGAGCTTTATTATTTGGTGGTGAACCTAAACAGCATGATAAAAAGTAGAGACATCACCCTGCCAACAAAAGTCCGCATGGTCAAAGCAATGGTATTCCCAGTAGTCATGTATGACTGCGAGAGTTGGACTATAAGGAAGGCCGAGCGCCGAAGAATAGATTCTTTTGAACTATGGTGCTGGAGAAGACTCTTGAGAGTCCCTTGGACTGCAAGAAGATCAAATCAGTCAATCCTAAAAGAAATCAACCCTGACTGTTCCCTGGAAGGCCAGATAATGAAACTGAAGCTCAAATACTTTGTCCACTGAATGAGAAGGGTGTACTCACTGGAGAAGACCCTGATGCTGGGAAAGATTGAAGGTCAAAGAAGACGGGGACGGCAAAGGATGAGATGGTTAGACAGTGTCATAGATGCAACGAACATGAAATTGAGCCAACTTCAGAGGACGGCGGAAAACAGGAGGGCCTGGTGTGATGTGGTCCATGGGGTCGCGAAGAGTTGGACTCAACTGTGCGACTGAACAACAACAAGGTTGCTTGATACTGAATAAAAGCCTTTCCGTTTGAAATTAATAGATACCGTCACAAGTACAGATTTGAAGTGCAGCATAAATATAAGGTCTTACTATTGGATCAAGCACAGGTGTGCCTTTTTGTTTCCATTTATGACACTCCACTCAGTTTTGTTCATTACTACACATTTCCACTGTGAATGGAGAAGAATCACCTCCTTTTGTCTCCCCTCCCTCCTCCATCGTACTTACTATGCTGCAGCAATGGCTGTGATTAGTCTTGCTGCAACAGCAAAGCAACTGAGATGCAAAACAGTGGCTGCCCAGGTAGTGGCAGGCTGCCCAGCTCTCAGGAGGGCAAAGGATCTGTCTCTTCCCCCTCCCACACACACACACACGCACCATGTCCTATCCCCTGTCTTCTGGCACCTCAATGTACCTTGGGAAAAGTAGTCTTCAGGGTGTGTCTGGCAGAATGCTGTCCTCAGGGTGTGCCAGAGTGCTGCTATAGGCAAGGGAGGGGGAGAACATCTGCCATCTGGCCTACCATTGTGTTGGGGGAAAGGGAAAGGGGAAGAAAGGAAGGAAGGAAAGAGAAAGGAGGAGTAACAATGCATTTACAAATGACATTTGTTTGTTCTTCATTATTCCCTTTCATTGTCCAAACTAATGAAATATTTTTCCCACATTCGTTTTGGAATGAATACTGTGGCAAAACAGGCCAGAAGCGCCTTGCTGTACAACTGCGTCTTTGCCTGGTACTGCATCCCAGTAGGGTGCTTCACCGACCCCCTGACTCTTTCACCTGCCTGGCACTCCCACCACTCAGGACTTTTTTAAAACTGCTCCCCTGAGCCTGTAGTATCACCTTTTGCAAGTTTGTTGTGAAGTCCCAGTTTAAGGGGAAAAACTCTCTTATCCTATCCCCAGTTGGTAATAGATACAAGAGTCTACCCAGTGTTTCTTTAAAAAAGAAACAAAGCATTATGAAGAAACACACAATATTCAAGTGCATATTACTATTAAAAATGTTTTAGCAACCCAAGGATGTAGGTTGATTGAGATGTTAACATACATGTGTCATGCACTCTTCTCAGCCAGCTAGAGCAGCTGTATCATATCTCAGATTCTCAATACTGGTAACATATCCTGACCCTTTCACTGTTTAACTCCCTAGACAACGGAGAGGAAGCAGCAATGGGGGGGGGGAGAATTAGGGGTGGGACAAGTAGGATTTCCCTCCCCTGCAAATATTGTGGTTCCCCTTCTCATTCATTCTAAATTTATATGTTAAAAAGCTAAAACATATTTAAAATATCTGAAATTGTGCAAAGTCATTTTGTCACAAATCCATATCCCCAAATTTAGGAGTTTAAAATCCCTAAATCTTTGTATCCATTAATATCATCAATAGGCTACTGTATTTCATTCTTGTCATAGCTGTAATAAATGTAATAAATAAACCTTTACTCCCATATTCTGCTGGCACCTGGTACTTGTCAAGAAGTGAAGGGTGGTTTAGATGCTGCCAATCCCACAGAAGGAATGCTCAGCAAAAGCAGTATTGCTTAATTGCTCCTTATCTTGTGCGTCTCCTAGTCACATGGTACGTTTGGATGCCAAAAGTACTGTGGGTACGCCACCACTGGAATGCATGTGCTACATGCTATCAGAGAGAGTCACTGAACTGTGTGGAATATTCTGGTCTATAAGTGTATGTTAGGATCACAGACTAAAGTTTCCAAGGGGGTCTGTATAAAATAAGAATAGTCTCTGTGTGTGTGTGTTTTGCACTGGCACTGGGGAGGCATGGAATTTGTTCCGAACACAGAATCAGGCATCCTGACAATCTCTTCTTTCATTTTACAATAAGTATATCCCTAGATCTTCTGGTTCTGAAAATAGGCTTGAAATTATACATGCAACATACATTGATGTCTCAGAAGATGGACAGCAGCTGAGCAGGGACTTTTCTTGAAGCTTTGCCACCTCCATAATGATTAGTAGGAGCACATTAAAGTATACAAAAGAAGAGAAAGTATGCATAGTTATTTGCATAATTTTACCAGTCACAGAAGATTGGTTTACTTTACCAGAAAATTCAATGTATATTTTTTAACCTAGAGGATGTGCCACCCTGACTAGAATAGCTGTGTCCACCTAACGCAGTGACAGAGGCGGGAGGGTGGGCAGGAAATGCTGCCCCTACTGTGCAAGCATCAGCAAGCAGGACGGAGGTGTGGGGGGCGACAGTCACACGCTCCATCGCTACACCTTTCCTCACCACAAAAGCACCGACTTGAGAAAACCTTGCTGAGTCCCTTGCAGCCTGGCAGTCCTCCTCCCTCCCTTTGACAGCTGAGCTGCAGGCACATACTTGCTAAAGGCGGGGCAGGGGTGGGTGGGGGGGGATACCTGTAAAAAGGTTGAAAGTGGAAGAGGAAACACTGGAGTTTAGTGTTGCCATTTTTAAGGCAGTGCCAAGCTCCACCCCCACCCCCTTCCAGATGGACTACTGATAGAGCTTTCACAAGGAAGCTCTGCCTGCAGTTGGTGTGCCAGTTGAAGCAAAGGAGGTTTTCCTTTGTTCCAGTTTAAGAGGGACAGCCCTGGGAGCCCCATAAGCTGAGCTTGGAAGACATGGTGTGGAAGCGCTCAAATAAATTAGGGCATGTTGAAGAAGAAGAGGAGGAGGAGGAGGAGATTGGATTTATACCCCGTCCTTCACAACCCAAAGGTGTCTCAGAGCGGCTTACAAACTCCTCTCCCCCTCCCCACACCTTGTGAGGTAGGTGGGGCTGAGAGAGCTCTTGACAGAAACTGCTTTTTTTCAAGAACAACTGTGCCAGAACTATGGCTTGCTCAAGGTCATTTAGCAGGTGCAAATGGAGGAGTGGGGAATCAAACCCGGTTCTCCCAGATTAGAGTCCACACACTTAACCACTACACCAAACTGGCTCTTAACCACTACACCAAACAGGAAGCAGCCAGACTTTCAGTCAATAAAGACAGATATGCAAAATCACACTAGTGCAAGCTACAAAGAGTAGCTTGTGCTGGTGTGGTTTTGCATGCACATTTTGAAAATGCTTTGTGTTATTAATTAGTAAGCTTTTGGCAATAACCAGATCAACAATGAAATACATTTTCTGTCCCTCTTTACATTTGAGTAGCATAGAATTTGTGACATACAGTGTATAGAGATTAGTCTTGCTTCATTGCCAAAACGAACTGGGTTGTCTGATGCTGCCAGAGAACATCACATCACGTAAAAATACAGACTGGCGGGTTTCCAAGCTGCTTTGCCTAACCATACTGCATTTTACAATTTCATAAAAGCATTTTTTTTCTTGACAGAAGACAGTGATGATAATCATAGCAATCAGTCCAAAATACAAACAGGATGTAGAAGGGGCTGAATCCCAGCTGGACAAGGATGAACATGGCTTACATACTAAGTACATCCACAGGATGGTGAGTGAGGATATGTGCATGCCATTTCAAAAGAGGTCTGCAGCTTTCCCTCTCCCAGAGAAATGCCCTTTGTGTCTTGTCCTCAGTAAATCCAACAGTTAAGCCTGGATCTGTCAGTGTTCAGTCTCTGCTCCCTGTTAGCGTTGAATGTGTTTTATAAGCAGTTCTATTTGCTTGCTCCAGAGTTCAGGTTGAAAGTGACTGTGTGTAACTTGCTGCTTCACTTTCTTTATGGTTTTTAGCTCAAATGCTTTTAAACCATTCTCAAGACCTTTAATATTATCTCATGTCTGTACTTCTTCACATTGACACACTCCAAAAAGATAGTAGAACCCACAGACGATAATAAATCTGTCAGACCTGAGAAATTAAACATGAGGCATGGAAGGAGGGAAATTCACATCTGTGTAGTTTCATGCACCTCTGGGCTGGTGTATTTGATTGTGTCTCCCTCTGGCCTGCTGATTGCCGCAGAAACTCAGCTTGCTAATACTTTAAAGAATTCTCCCTGGAGTTTCTCTTTTGATCAGACCTAACAAGCTGGCACAAAGCTGGTTCTTTCTGCTGCTGGGAGATCAGCACAATGCTATGCCAGTCCCTAGGAGCTTCTACTAGTTCAGGTGAATTTGAATTCTTTATGCAATACTCTTTTAAAGTTTTACAAGCATAGAGCTGGGCCACATCGTAAGAAGGCTCAAGAGCTCTAGGAGAAGGGTGGCTTAAAGCACTGTCACAAGGACCTTTCCTAGAGGAGGAAACGCTGTCTGGCCCACACCAGTACTGATGGGGTATGTATTCATCAATCCAAGATTGTATTGGACTAGATGCAAAAGGAACAGCCCAGAACAATGTATTTGGAATTGCCCCATTCCACTTCCTTCAGTTTGATTTAGTGACGAATTTTCATTGATAATCTCAAATGAACTGGGCTATTGAGTCAGATGTTCAATCTAAATCCTGATTAGTATTTTCACAGTACAATCTGTTTAGATTTACAGCCTTCAAAATTCCTTGAAATAAAAGGGGTTAGAAGGGTGTAACTCTTCTTGGGGCTGCACTGTAAGTATCTGAAATATTCTCCACCTAGGGTTGCTAATGCTGGGTTAGAAAAGTCCTGGTGATTTGAGGGTGGAGCCTGGGGATGGACCTCAGTGGGGTATAATATCATAGCGTTCACCCTCCAAAGATGTCATTTTCTCCAGGGGAACTGATTTCTGTAGTCTGGAGATCAGATGTAATTCTGGGAGATCTCCAGGCTCCATCCTATGTCCACCATGCTCAGTTTTGTGCCAGGGCCTGAAGATCTCTATGTTGTCATTAGGGGTGTGCACTCGGTGTATACCGAGCTGAACAGATATCTGAAAAATACCTTATCAGCCAAATCAGATTAACAAATAGGGTATAAAGGAGCCAAATAAATTCAGGTTTCCCAAATATTTACCTGAATCCCAACACAATACCGATATTGGGATTTGGGACTATTCAGGGATACTGATATTTTTCACGTCCAATAGTTGTCATTCCTGCACAAAGAGGTCTGGAGATCTCAGGTACTATGCAAGCTCAAGGATCTATATGCTGCCTGCCCCTTCCTGAAATGGATGGAAGGGCTGTGAGGGCCCACTTCAGGCTACATGCTTCACCCAGGCCTAGGAGCTCCTGTACAAATATGTTACATCTGAGGCTCACTGTAAGTGCCACTAATCTGAATTCACTTCAGATTGGCCAATGACTCTTATAGTCTGAAGTCTGATCTAAACTTAATTTGGGGGGCGGGGGGTAATCCACCAAATCCCGTCTGGGTTAATTTTGAATTCAAGTGCAACAAAACACAATTTCATAGTGAGCAATTTGTTCTTTTAAAGGGGCTTAAAAAGAATATTATCTTTGGAGATGGTATTTAAAATATCTGAATAACAGTCCAGATGTGAATATATGCATAGGTCACAATCCAGCACAGTGTCTATGAATTTAAATCCAAAAACTGCTACATGCCTTAGTGGGTTCCCTGAACACTACAGGGCATATGCTTCGGTTCATACCGCCATACCTCTTGAGGCTGATAGCATTCAGTACTCACAGTTCCAAACAGCTGATTGGCATTCTCAAAACTGACTGAGCTGACCATCTGATAAGGGCAGGGCATGTGGCTTCTGATCCAGTGTCAAGTATGCGTACATCCACCATGGTGCTTGTACAGTTCACAATCCAGAACAGTGCACAGCCATCACTAGTATGGGACAATCCAGCTAGGATTTCCAGATCCCCCCTAGCCAACAGCAGGGGATGAGGGGATACAGTTGCCAGATCCAGACTGGGAAACTCCTGGAGATTTGGGGATGGAGCCTGGGGAGGACAGGGGCCTCAGTGGGATACAATGCCATAGAGTTCACTCTCCAGAGCATCCATTTTCTCCAGGGGAACAGATCTCTGTAGTCTGAACTGTAATTCCAGGGGATCCCCAAGGTCCCACCTGGAGCCTGGCATCCCTAAATCCAGTACAGCAGCACAGAATTCTGATTCTGTATATAGAAGACTTAGTTGTAAGAATTATGCTTTTTTTCAGATGCAGATTGAGTTTATACAGCAAGGAAGCATGAATTTTCGATTCATTCCTGTGCTTTTTCCAAATGCAAAAAAGGTAAAACAAAAATTGAATTAATCTTGTTTTATTTTTGATGAATGCACAAGCTGAGATACACAGCTTTCAAGCACATTTTCTGACTATCAGATAAAATTCTGTTAGTATTCAGAACAATATCTGACAGAAATGCTGTACAGCATTTTAGATCAAAGTCCAGTTTGCATCAAGAATATGAATGTACTAAAGTATTTTATGTGCTGACATATTAAGAGCTAGTACTGATTTTCACAAGCTATTGGATAAAATTGGAATTGAGCCATATATTGTTTTGTCGAGTTTCCCCATATACCTTATTTTACTTTTGATTTAAAAGTATTGCAGTGCAGAGACTAATATTTGTGAAAGAAAGAATTTGGCAGTCTTTCCTTATTGCAGAGTTAAAGGATGGCTAGCCAGGGATCTCCATGGCCTAGCTAGGGTTTTGTATTCCCTGCAGTCTGACTGTTGGTAAGAGCAGGTCATCAACACTAGGTAAAGTAGAAGAGCCTTTTATAGCTGTCATTACTATACCTGGACATTCCACTTCACCGGTTCTGTATATCTAATCTTTTGTCAAAAATGGCTACTAAAAAAAATCAGCCTGTCTGCCATATGGGCTGCAGATTCCGGTGCTCTTGGGGAGAGGGAAGTATGGCAGTGGGCCTAGGCGGGGTCTTAAGGGAAGGACATGGAGAAATGGAATGGCTCACCGCCCTTCCAGCCTACGGCCCATCCCAAGGGTGGCCGGCAGTGGGGCCAAAATGGAGAACCCCCCTCCGTCATTGGTGTTGTGCAACGCCAGGTCTATTAACAACAAAGCCACAGTCCTTCAGGAGTTTATAATAGAACAACGAGCTGACCTGGCGTGCATGACCAAGACCTGGGTGAGGGAGGGTGAGACGGTAGCTCTCGCCCAGCTTGCCCCACCGGGTTTCTTGGTCCTTCACCAATCTCGGACTAGGGGGCAGGGGGGAGGAGTGGCTATTTTCATTTGGGAGGTTTACTCCTTCAGGGCGCTCCCGGCTGTGGAGATCGCGGGCGTTGAGTGTGTTGGCGTGATACTGGAGACCGAGGAGAGTTTGGCAATTTGGTTGGTGTACCAACCGCCCAACGCACTGGCCAATAGCCTGCCGTCCCTGCTGGATGCCGTATCAGGCGGGCGCTGGAGCACCCTCGGCTGATTATCTTGGGTGACTTCAACGTTCATGCTGAGGATGCGGCCTCGAGCCGGGCTACAGACCTAGTGTCATCCATGGCAGCACTGGGACTCTCTCAACTTGTTACAGCCCCCACGCATCGGGCCGGTCACACGCTCGATCTGATCTTCGCGGCTGGAGTGATGGTGGACCGGATCGCTGTGGAAGGGGTGCCATGGTTGGACCACCAGGTTCTGAGGGCCCGTCTGAATGTTCCACCCCAACCCTGTTTGGGCGGCGAGCGGATTTTTGCTCGCCTGCGCTGCCAGATGGATCCTATGTGGCTTCAGACGGCGGTGCGGAATCCAAGGCCCCCTGGCGGTTCCTTGGATGAGCTGGTGGAGGACTGGCATGACCGGCTCTCCTCAGCCATCGACGAGATTGCTCCCAGATGTCCTCTCCGCACTTGTTCTAGGCGGGCGCCCTGGTACACCTAGGAGTTGCGCCAGCTGAAGCGAGAACTGCGACGACTAGAAAGTCGGTGGCATCGCGCTCGTGACGAGGCTTCAAGAACATCCTGTAGGACGCTTATGAGATCCTATGAGATGGCAGTCAAGGCCGCAAAGAGGGATTTCTATGTGACCATGATTGCATCTGCTAGCTCACGCCCGGCCCAATTATTTAGCACAATTCGGTCTTTGACAGCACTGCCACAGGGCAGGCAAAATGTTAGAGAATTGGATATTGGCTGTGAGCCTTTTGCGAGCTATTTTGCAGAGAAAGTCTGGGCGCTCCACCGTGACCTCACCGCCACAATTGATACAGTGAGCAAACTTGAGGCCCCTTGCACGTCTTTGGTGACGGGTTTAGTGAGTTTTAGCCCACTCAGCCTGGAGGAAGTTGACAGATTGCTCGTATCTGTACGTCCAACCACATGCGACCTTGATCCATGCCCCTCCTGGCTCATTAAGGCGGGCCATGAGGGGTTTCGAGGTGCCCTGTGGGAGATTGTCAACAAGTCCCTCTTGGAGGGACGATTCCCTGGGGCACTCAAGGAAGCAATGGTCCGCCCTCTCTTGAAAAAACCATCTCTGGACCCGGCCGAATTGGCTAACTATTGGCCGGTGTCCAATTTACCCTATTTGGGCAAACCTATTGAGAGGGCAGTGGTGATACAGCTACAGGGCTTTCTGGATGACGCTTCTGTCCTTGATCCCTTCCAGTCCAGCTTTCGCCCAGGTCATGGGACGGAGATGGTACCGGTCGCTCTGACTGACGACCTCTGTAGGCATCTGGATCGAGGTGGTGTGGCAGCACTGGTGTTGTTAGATCTGTTGGCTGCGTTCGACATGGTCGACCACCAGTTGCTAACCCACCGCCTCACCGACATGAGGATTCAGGGGTTCGCCCTTCAATGGTTTGCCTCTTTCCTCCAAGGTCGAGGACAAAGGGTGGCGATAGGGGATCAGCGGTCCCAGAGGTGGCCTCTTGAATGTGGGGTGCCTCAGGGGGCAGTGCTGTCCCCGATGTTGTTTAATAGCTATATGCGACCCCTTGCCCAGATTGCCCGGAGTTGTGGGCTTGGGTGTCATCAATATGCAGATGACACCCAGCTCTATCTGATGTTGGGCGGCCGGTCGGACTCCACCATGGATGACCTTCATCGGGCGGTACAGGCCGTGGCTGGTTGGCTCAGACTGAGTTTCGGTGGCAGCTCCTACTTGGTGGAATGAGCTCCCAGAAGAGATCCGGGCCCTGCGGGACTTGCTGCAGTTCCGCAGGGCCTGTAAAACGGAGCTCTTCCGCCAGGCCTTTGAGTAGGAGCTGCCACCATCATCTTTACGCCACCATTATGACCATCATTCCATCTACGCCCCCCCCCTTTATTCCCGCAAATAGACCATCTTCAGAGCTGGTAGTATTGGGGGGGGGGGGGGGGAGATGTTCCTGGCAGAGGACAATGCTGTAGGGATGTATATTGTCGCTGTTATATATTGTTATTACTGCTGTTTGTTGTTTCTAGTATAAATAATTATAGAACCCCATCTTGAATTTTATAGCTAAGTATTTCTGGAGCACCGTAAAGAAATTTTTAGCGAACTGTATTTACTGTATTTTATATTTACTGTATTGTTTTAATGTTTTAACTTGGGCACTCGTGCCCCTTGTGAGCCGCCCTGAGCCTTCGGGGAGGGCAGGATACAAATCCAAAGATAAATTTAAAAATAAAAATAAAAAATATGCCGTACTTATTCAAAAAATTGTCTAAATTTTATGTAAGCTGCCCTGAGCCTGCTTTGGTGGGGAGGGCAGGGTATAAATCAAATCAAATCAAAAATAAATAATAAAAAGTTAAGAATTCAAGTTGTAAATGTAAAAGAATTAGTTACCTAAATATTTGTCTTCTCATAAACAATATGAAATTATGTTATTTAAATTAGGATGTCCTAATTTAACTAACTCTTCTTAAGCACCTCTAAGACTTAATGAAATTTAAACGCATGCTTTACAGTACAGTCCTGAGCAGGGCTACACCTTCCGAAACCTATGGTCTTCAAAGGATTTAGAAGGGTGCAACTCTGTTTAGAATTGCACTGCTAAATTTCTGCTATTGAAATCCATGGATACAGTTCAGCCAACTGATTTTAACAGGAAGAAGTAAACTTGTTCTGATTTTTTCCTCTGAAATCAATGGGACTTAACTTTGGCTGACTGACACCTGTTGGGGTTTTCTTTCTTATATGTCAGTGTTTGTCAGACTTTTTGAACATGGGGGCCAGGCCTTCTACCATCCCCAACTCAGCCCAGATCATCTGTTGTACTGGTGACTATACAGGCATCCTTCTGTATATTTATGTGTGAACAACCTGCTGCTGTGTGCAAGGATCTGGACAGTGTCATAATCCCACAGTGTCTTAATTCCACAAAGGAGACTAGACCAGGATATCTGTGATTTCTTCCTAAAGCCACACACAAGGAACAAAAACAAGCAATCTTTACTCCTTCCTGCCCGTCCTCCTTATGCAATGGGGGGAGAAAGGGCATAGTCACACCAACAAAATCAGTGAGTGCCAGGGGATATTCTACCATTCCAGTTCTTGGTTGGTAGAGGAGGAAAGCACCACCCACTCAGGATCCTATCCTACCCTGAAATGTCAGCCTTTCTCCAAGAACCCCATACTTTGAGAACTATAGGAATATGGTGCCACATCGTTTCTGCTGGATTTAGATTTTGATTGATGCATTTTAACCAATAGAAGTTAAAAGGGATTAAAATGTGAGTTAATACCACAATGTGCTGATAAAATACTACACTCAAGTGATTTCCACAATGAATTATTCAGATTGCACCATAAGCGTGGATAGGCAATCTAGAGCATGGCTAATTGCATGTTGTGTTCAGGCGAAGGCTAATGAGAGAGGATGAGTCTCTGACTGGTGAGGCCTGGACGTTGCTGAAAAATGGTGGTAGCGCAATAAAGGAATTTTAAATCCCCCCTCTCCTTCACAGGAACATGTACCAACCTGGCTTCAGAATACTCACATCTACAACTGGCCCGAAAATAAAAAGAATATTCTGCTGCGGTTATTGAGGGAAGAGGAATATGTTGCTCCTCCGATAGGACCTTTGCCCACACTCCAGGTTGTGCCATTATGAACATACATTAAAGTACACATGAAACAATTGGTGTATTGCTTTGATGGCTGGCAGCCAGGATTTTCCTGGCTTCCTTTTTTGAGTGATGAAAAGCATGTGCTTTCTTTCTCTCTCCCTCCCTCCCCACCCCTGCTAATAGAATTGTCCTGGGTAATGCAAGCCCATGTGTTTTCCCTTATCCTGAATGTTTCCTTCTGTGACTGATCAGGCACGCTGCTTCCCTCTCTGTTTAAACAAACTGCAAATGGAAAGAATGTCCAGTCGTTTCTCTTCTGTTTCTAGCAAATTGTTCTCCAAGTCTGCAGCAGAGCAAGCAAATATTGTTAACGATGTTGCAATAAGCAGAAAACTGCACTCTGTTGTTTGCTTTGAGTTCTTTTGTTGTCAGCCAGATGTTCTTGCATTCTATAATGATCTCCAACAGTCACTTTATGTTCACAATAAAGTATTTGCCTTTCATGTTAGCTGCCATCTTTATCACAGTTGAGAAATACATGAGGGTTTAACAGTTTCTTTGTAGATAAACTGAACTTCAAGGTTAATGTTTGGCTGCGCACATTTGTAAGCTTTCTCGTACTTGAAATAGGCTTCTTACAGGTGCTGTTTGAAAGCATGGCATAGTAATTTTATACAGAATCTAGACTGCATCGGCATACGAGTGCTCTAGTCGGGTATCCTACCACTTAATCCTTCTTAGGATGGAAGTACACTATAGTTGACCTGAGGCTGCTGCCAAAAGTGGCACCCCCATACCAAATTTCCCCTCGCAACCTGGGCTCTTTAATTCTGTGATGTGATTGTAGCATATGGAAAGGGGCCATGGCTCAGTGGTAGAACATATAGTTTGTGTGTAAGAAGTCCCAACACTTTAGATTTCACATGGAGAAGCAGGTGGCAAGCTTCCAGAAAGGTATGTGTACCCTATTAATCCTTTAAAACTACTGTAATGATGTACCTTTGCTGACGGCTGTCAGCTTCCAACTGTGTAGGCTCCTTCTTTTTAGGCTAAGTCTGGCACCCTTTAAATAAGAAAGCCAAGATCTGTTACTGTACGGACAGCAAGATAAACAATGAAGGCTAGCCCAAAGAGCAGCTTAATTGAAAAGGACCATTGTTCAAGGTCTAGACTGCCTTATCGCTGGTGAGCAGGGCTGTGAGGGTAAAGCAGAATCCGGACTGTTAATAAGAGGACTATTACTAACCACAGCAAAGTTCAAAGGAAGACAGAGTTTGTAGCTGTGCAACATACAGATGAGACAGGCTGTTGAAGGGAAAGATAATTACTATAATTTATCACATATCCACATTAATGATGCTTGGGTGACTACCTGGTTTTAAAAGAAACAAAGCTATATATCCTTGTACAACAATTTTACCATGGCAACAGACGGCAACTAACCTCTCTCAGCTTTCTATCTTTGTGGTGATGAAGCAAGTTTGTTTTAACAATCGATGATAAATATTAATGTACTCAAATCCTGTGGGATTACTGAAGAAGTAATATTCATATTGTCCTCCCTTCTCATCAGGCAGCATCTATTTGTTTATTCCAGGATTGTTCTTTGTAGCAAGCAGCAGGCTGCCTTGGGCTCTATTGTTCTGATATTATTAAAAGGTCCAAACCACAGCAGAAGAAGACTCTTGCCTCAGATACCTACAGATGGTATTGCTGTCCATGTTGCTTGCTCACGGGGGTTGCCTTTAGGTGTAGGTAGAGAGGGCTGGAAATTTCTCCCAGATATCAATAAACTATACACTGGTTCTGTACACTGAATAGCTGGAACCAAAACCAGAATTGTCCCCATCTGCTGCTGTTGAAAGGTTCCCTTGACTTCATTCAATTATATTAGACATTCAGTTATATTAGAAGAAAATACAGAACACATTTTTAAATATAATGCAGAATACTTATACAAAATGTATGGTGATAAATAATGGTTACTATATAAACAGACAATGTAGGAGGTAACAAACTAGATACAACAAAGAAGTATATGGAATCCCCAAACTTGTATGTATTTATGTTTCTTTCTTTGTTTTTTGTTTGATATAAAATAAAAATTCTTACAAAAAAGAAAGGTTCCCTTGAATTGAATTGAATGGGAAAAGGAAAAGCAGCGAAGTCAAATGTCTGTTGTTCTCTTACTGTGCCTGTGACATTTCTACTCTTTCTAGAAGTGCAAAGGTTATGAACGGCACACCTGTTTTTAAGGTAATATTTGTACAGTCAAGAAGAAGTGACACAGCTAAGATTATCCGCACAGATAAAAAGCTCCCACTGGCTGTTCAGCAAGAAAGGTCACTTTCACCATCAGTGCATAACAAAAATGTATTTAAACCAGGTGAGCAGCCTGGTTTGTTATTACTACTTTGCTGCTACTGTAATTGTTACTGTGATAATTGGCATTTGACTAGATCTGTTTTGTACCACAATTGCAGCTGAGTTTCACCCTTACAATTGTGCAGCACAGCTGCACCCGAACCTTCTCCATCATTCCAGTTTATCTGCTCCAGAGAAAATAGATCATTTTGTTTGAGACTCTATAATAATCATAATCTTGGCTATAAATTCTTGGCTATTTTTCTTAGTCTGTTCTAACCTATATGCATGATGACAATATAGCCTAGAAGAGACTTTTTCAAACCCAGAGTTAAATATCAACAAATATATTTTCAACATGGACATAGATTTGAGAGGGGAAACTTGCTGTATTAAACTGTGATTACAGCTGAAATGGTTACGATCCACATCAAAGTTTTTAGCTAGAAATTTAGACTTCCTGTGCATTCATACCCTTCTCATTTTTTGTGCAAAGTTATGATTCTAGAACACCATACTCTCCTCCTCAAAAGCACCAACTTTTCCTTAGCCTCTGCTTACCTACCCAGAGGGACTCTGTCACTTAATTTGTATTTTTTAAAATATATTTTTATTTGTTTTTAAATCATCATTAACAATGAACATCAAAAGCATTAAACAAGCAATATTAAGAGATAAGGATCAAGTCGCATCAAAAGCTTATTATGTAGCAGTAAAACTATTTTAACATTTTTTGAACATTTATCAAACAAGTAGAAAGGGTAAGAAGTGCTGTTAATTATGCTACCTCTTTCTAGTCCTTATTTTACAATTTCACTGACTTGTCAGATGAGCCCCTGAGCTCAAGCTTAGAACTACACTAAAGGCAATTGGGTAGACTATTGTTTACTTCAACTATAGGAGGCACAGTACCTCCATGGCACTGCTTGCCAGCAAATGTTGCCCACATCCAAACTCAGATTAGGCTCCTTCTGTTTTTATGCTACCGTAACATTTCCAATTTTTATCCTGATAAAAGGTTTTCTCTGGTGTTATCAATTGCGTAATGAAATGAGTGATTACTTACATAGCATCATGGTACTTTGAGGAATGTCAGTGTATGAAGCCAGTGTGTGAATTACAACCCAACAGTGAAACTTGCTACACCAACGTGTTTAAGATAAAATGAACAAACTATTGCACCACAGTAACATCACAAGGCATAGCGCTGCATAGATGCTACAAATGTTAAGACTTGCAGAAAACGATACATGGATTTCTAGTATACACTTCTTTATAAGTGCCTTCTCAAGTTCACTGTAGCTTCTTTGTGCAGTTCTCATTCTTCAGGAGCTTCCTCTCTGTTCTTCTGAATTAGGATGGAGGAGAATGAACTTCCTGCATCATTCACTTTGCTATAAAGGAGCTCATTGTGTAACCAAAATGATTGTACATCAGTAAACAGTTTGTGCTAGAGCTCAGAAGACTCCTCTTAGAGAATAGCTTATTCTCCCAGATCCATTTGTCTAATGAAGTGGATCCTGTGATAAATGTGCATGATGAATTTTCTCAGTTGCCTAGCAGATGAAATGCTGCATCTCACAGGCATCGCTGTATGCATAACAATACAGAGGCCAACTCATTCAACAAATACTTCCATTTCTGAAAGAGAGTTAACAAAAATGGTTTGTTTTCCAACATTACTATTTGTTAGACCACGTACATACACTCTTCCTTATGTAGGTGCTCCGTGAGGCTTTGAGAGACATCTTTCCTTTGAGATGTTGTTGGGATTATCTAAAAGGAGGTAGGGTGGGGTAGAAACAAACCTGAGACGGGGAGAAGTATATTGAACAAGTTAAGGCTACATGTTCTATTCACAAAGTATGAGCAGAAAAGTACCACAATACTAATGCTCAAGTTCTCTTGTGAGCTTACATGGTAGAATGTCCCCATTGTACAATTTGCATTTGTATCACCTATCCAAGCACCCAAGGGGAAAAAAGAACCCTTTGTACAAACACAGCAGTCTGAGTTCACCATCTTCCACAGTGCCACATTCAATGGACACCTAGACAGATCCTTTAGGAAAAACAAGTCACCACCCCTTACCTAGGAAAACTGCTGACCCAGTAATGATTACTGCCAAGAGGCATTTAAAGCAAGCTAGTGGCACACTATGCCTTCTCTGTGTGCTAATGGAGAGGGGTGGGATCCAGTGTGTTCAACACTGGAATGGTCTCTCTTGTAAGGTAGTGGATTCTTCATCACTGGAGATTTTAAACTGTCAACTGGAGCCACCAGTGAACCAAGTAGCCAAGTTTGCAGATGAAACCAAATGAACACAGCTGGACAGTTTAAGGCAGATTGGTTTTATTCCTTTTAAAATTTTCAAACAGAAAAAATTTACACTATCTTAAGTACGTATAATTCCATAATACAACCAAAAACAAAACAAAAAACAGGTACCAAAGCTTAAGTAGCACCTCATTCAACATACTAATTACTCAAATTATAAACTCAAGGCAGATTGTATTTTTTTAAAAAAAACTCTAAAAGGTTCTCTCCAAACTGTGCTGAAATTAAACCAAAGGAAAAAATTGAAAAGAGAAAAAAGAATAAGGGAAATGGCCTGATTAGCACTGTTAATATTCCAGGAACCATGGGATATTACGAGCAGTCAAAAGTCAATAGGGTAGGGAAGGAGATGGTGAAATTGGCCCGCTCAAGCCCCTTAGACTAGAACTAATAGAATTAGAGTGTAGAAGGATTTATTCTTCCACTCCCATGATTCCTCATGGGTCCCCAAAACTTCTCCATTTAGGTTGTGTTCATACGCATAATTAGACCTGACATAGGCACGAATGCTGGGCGGATTTAAAGGGCGCAATCAGACAACAACATCTGGGAAGTGCCCTGCAGCCTGCAGCAGAAGCAGAGTTAAAAGACACCAAGGAAAATCCGGTAGTAAACGGGTTGCGATGGGCCACAGGTAGACCTTCCCCTGTCTGATCGCTCTGGCGTGCTCTCATGCCGTTGGGATGGTCTGATCAAGCCATCCCGACTCCGTGCTGTTATTTCCCCCCCCCTCGCTGTATGCTCATCATCGCAAACTCCACAGGGAGCCCTCAGTGTGGAGGTGCGGTTCATTGATTCCTTGTTTAAGCGCATGGGAAACAAATGGCACAAAAAAAAAGGACTTACCCGCAGTTGCATCTGATTACACACTGACGGGCTGCGCCCACAGCTTCAAAGGGAGGTGTGATTGTGCAACTGCAGGTCTATTTCCTCTGGAGGAAATAGCCTCGCTCCCCCCCCCCCGTTTTATCTGGCCCGTGTGACCGCACCCTTATAAGACTATGAATTTGCTTTATTCAGATAAACAGCAAAAGTTCAGATAAACAGCAAATGAAAGCTTTTAGCTCCTGGAAATGAGCAAGTAACACCCAAATAACTAAATGAAAATGGCTTCTTAGAAACAGACCAAATGTAAATCTGATCCTCAGTTTATGTGTCCCCATTTGAACTTGCAGGCCTTGAAAAGCTGTAAGGGATTATAACTCATGCTGTAACTAGACCAATATGAGTGGCTATTTTTAGCATTGTAGAAGTGATGAGACTCCTTATTTAGCTCTGACAGAACAAAAGGTTGTGTTTTCAACTGTTTGGTGAAACAATACATAACTTTTTCAGACTTCAAGCAATGTGCAATTTAGGGTGAAAGACATTCCAGGAAACCACATGCAGGACAATTTATGAAAACTAAACAGTAATTAATTCCAGATGGTTCTCTACTACTTAACCACTGTTATGAAAAAAACAAAAACAAAATATACTGCCAGAATTGTTGATAATCTTCCAGGCCCTTCATGTTACTTTGCACAACCAGTTACAAAAGAAACTTCTAGCTAAATAAATAAGTCAGCATAGTGGAAAGCTGAAGGGCTTCTAACAATCAGCAAAAAGCTACCAAAATATTTTTGTCATTCAATGCAAAATTCATTGTGGGTGTTTTTAAAAACTGTTTCAGCTTAGATGGCTACCTTGCTTTTCATTCTGTTTTTAGCCAGGTCAGTATTCAGCCTAGCTTACTTCACAGGATTGTTCGATAACCCATATGTGCACCACCCCAACTCTGATTGACACTGTGCCTGAGAAATAGTGATTTACTGAGGTCCAGTGAGCACAAGGCCATACTAACTGGGGAATACAGATCCCCAAAGCTAACAAACATGTTTCTCACAAGGGCATTTAGTTTTGGAATAAACGCACTCACCAAAATGAAACAACATCACTTCAGAAGCACTTTACATATAGAAATACTGAAACAGGGACAATAACTAGAATTTTTTATATAGACTATAACATGCAAATGACCCAGAAGGATTTGCAGGAGGCATCTTATTTCCCCTCCTCCACTATTTCCCCTTTCCCTTCCCTGAAAGCCCTCATAGCCTCTCTCTCCCCTTTTCCTACTTTCTTCTCCCCTTCCCACCCCCCAGCTAACTTACCTTTATCTTCTTCCTCCTTCCCTCCCTCTGCGAAAACTCTGGCTGAGGGTAGCAAGTCACCTGGTGGAACCAGGCCTGGCTCCAATGAGTTCTTCCTCAAAGGCCAAAACAGTTCCAGAAAGACTCCCCCCCCCCCTTTACAGACAGAAACCAAAGTTTGAAGGCTGGCAATGCTGTTGTGGTTGCCTAAC